TCAGGTATTTTTTTCTGAGACAGGGTCTCCCTATGTAGCTCCAGCTGGCCTAGAATTCAATATGTAGACCAGGCTGGACTCCAACTCACAGAGATCCACCTGCCTCTTCCTCCCGAGTGCTGGGATTAAAGGTGTGCACCACCCCACCTGGTTTATTTTAAACTCCATTGACAAACTTTAATGACTCATACAGTACCCAGTATCCAGGGCACAGAAACTTTTAGACTGGTTCAAGTAAAGTAAGTTGTGTCTTTCATGTTAAATTTGCAAGTTCAAGTGTTTCCCTTCTTTATATATGTTCTTACTGTTAGAATTTCTTATGCCCATATTCTTAGGGGTTTGAGGGCACAGTATTTCAGAGAAACGTAGGAAATATAGTAAAGGAAAATAAAGCAGTTAAAAGTTTAATTTTCCGATATTTAATGTTTCAAATTTAACTTGTTTTCTGGGCCTTGTAATTATTCAATAAATTTCATAGGACTGTATAATAATTTAATTGTATAAAACCTATCTGTTACTTTATAGCCTATGGTAGTGTCTGTCTTACTTTTAAACTCATTGTAATAACTTTGCTAAAATATTAGCATATTGGTAAAACTTTTCTTAAACAACAATTTAAAAAAATGTTTTAGTAGCCAGTCCCCTGTCTCAACCCCTATTTGCCTTACTTTTCCAGGTAAAATACAAACATATTATTAGAAGTTAGACTCTTGCTGTCTATCATATGGAAAAACATTAATTTAGAAGCTTCAAGTAAGGTAAGAGAGGTAATCAACATCAAGGAGATTTGTAGGCAGATTTCTGTGAGTTCAAGGCCAGTCTGGTCTACAAAATAAGTTATAAGGCCAGCCAGGACTGGATAGTGAGATCCTGTCTCAAACAAAACAACCTTTGAAATAAGAAACAATAATGCTAATCCATGTTTACACAGTGCTTACAAGTACTTAAAAAGTGATTGCATTGTATGAAATTTTAAAAGCTCAATTTAAAAAAGTTTAAAAAAAGATTACATTTATTATAATAACTCTGTGTTGTATATAAGGAAAGTAAAAGCCCTACTTTCAAACTGAGAGATTGAAAAACATTACATGTAGTATCAGAAATGATAATAGTAAGACAAGGGGGAGAAAGGGCCCACATTCTAATAATTATAATAACAATCACCAGTTTTTGAACACTTGCTATGTTTCAGACATTATTTTGAACATTTAAAAGTATCACTGCATTTACTAAAATACTATTATATGAGTGTGTACCAACATGAAAGAAATAAAGGGGTAGGAGGGCCCAGTCCACTGTGGATGGTGGTGTCCCTGGGCACTGTACTATATAAGGGAAATAGGTGAGCAAACAGGAGCAAGCCAGTAAGCAGTGTTCCTCTATGGTCTCTGCTTCAGTTCCTGCCCCAAGTTCCAACTCTGCTTAAGTTCCTGTCTTTGCTTCCCTCAATGACAGACTATTATGGGGACATGTAAGCCATTAAACCCTTT